CCTATATATCTCCTTTAAAAAAATACTCTTGGGCTGGTTGGTTACCTCACTTGGGAGAGCGCGGTGCTGATAACACCAAGATCAAAGGTTCTGATCCCCATAACAGCCAGCTGTTAAAATAAATAAATAAATGAAATTTTAAAATACTCTTGGATGGATATGGACATATACAGAGGCTGACTAAAATGCTGGGAATGCGTGGCACAGAGTCCTTGGATGTGGTAGGGTATTTCTGTTTTGATCACAGTATGAGGTAACTTTAAAGAAACCCTCAGAGTTTTAAAGCTTCTGTCTGTGCCAGCCTACAGTATGCATGGTCTTTATTTTTCCCATTTTTGCTGAATCAACCAACTAAGATGCAAATGAACATAAAAGACCTAGGAACAAAATCCAACTTGTGGATCATCCTGCTCTTTGAGTCCACAGCTCTGGGTCTGCCACACCCTTCCCTCTCTTACGGCTGATACAAGCTTAGGTAATTCAATTTTATCACTTAGTGTTAGATTGAAACAAAAATCACACAGTAGGAGAAGTGTGCATGTAAAGAACATACTCCAAAAAGCAAAGAAAATAAAATTGATTATCTGCACCGTTAATGTGGATACAGTATTTTCTCAAAACCCCACCTCCTTATACACACAAACATGCCCACAAAGACACATGGGGGAGGTCAAGAGTTCAGGTCTCCATACCAGCCAGCCACCAAAAACAAAAGACACAAGGAGGAAGATGAGTACAAATATTTTCACGTGTAATCATTCCCTCTCAGAGCTTCCGAAGCACTGTTCACACCTCCTTTGTGGCTGTCATTAGGCTATAAATTCTCCTATAACTAAGACCCAAAATAACAGTGGCATAAACCAAAGGTTATTTTCCCTCCCACATAAGAGTCTGGGCATAACTAGCCCGGGGCTAGTTCGGCAGACCTGGCTCTGGCTGTTGGCTGTTCTTCGTCCTGAGCATGTTGCTCTCTCCTGTGTGTGTGGTCCAGGATTGCTCCAGCCTGTGGAGAGTGACAGGCATGAAGGGGACGTCATGCCCCTTCTTTTAAGAAGACACAGATATCACTTTCATTCACCATGTCCCACTGACCACAGCTCAGCCACGTGATTGCTAGAATGGGAACTGAAGTTGGAGGACATTTAGGGTCTCTGCCACATGTGCTTACAAGGGCTGCCCTGATTAGGACTATTTGGGTATAATTATCTGTTCCCACAACTCTTTACTCTCCCTTTCCCCCTCCTTAACCTCAGATTTTAAAGTCCTAGGTAACAGAGGGCAATCCACTTATCTGTAGGCTTGAAGTTGTAAGGAACATTGGAGGAAAGCTGTGGAGACAGTATGAGGGGCTGAGAAAAAGGCTCTGTAGCCAGGCAGAGCTGGGTGTGAAACCTCACACTATTACTGTTCACCTGAGTGACCTTGTGCAAGTTACACTCCCTGCCTCAGTGTCCTGGTAAACAGGGTAACAATGACACTTCCTTCCCATGTTTATTGTGAGGACTGAGTGAATGAATGCATGTGACTCCTGGCATACAGCAAGCACCTGGTACGGGTTAGCAATATTTATTAACAGCAGCAGCAACAGTTGAGACTCTCCCCTGGTGGGGTATGTTGTCAAAGGTGAGTGAAAATCTTCACAATCAATAGCAGCCCAAGATCAAGAGAAAGGGTTCAGCTAAAGAAAGTGGTTACTGGCCGGCCCGGTGGCGCACTGCTACAGTGCGCCGCTTGGGAGCGCGGCGGCG